ATTGGCGTATCATACCATGCCACAGGGAGTTTGGGATCCTATATAGTGGGTTTTGTCTACAAGCTGGTTGGAAAGGTTTTACGGGGGGTGGGGATTGATAAGGCGGGGGGGGCGACGAGGGGTAGGGGTAACTGGTAGCCGAGGCGAATCGGATGGTGGAGGATAAGTTACCGTGGACAAGGCCATTTTCTAAAGCCCCTATTTTCCCTCACTCTAAGGCTTCGGCGATTATAGAAGGGTGCCTCTCGCGAGGGGTACAAGCAATCTTCACATCTAGAACTCATTCCAAACCACAGACTACAAAAACCAATGGGAATAGGAGAAGAGTGGAACCCCCAGGATTACATAGAAGCAAATTTGTTCATCCATCAACAACAACCTAATACACAATCGCCTTCAACGATCCGATAAGCCCGGTGAAGAAAAACTTCCCCTCATCCTGGTCACCGACCCTACACTGCGTAATAACCTGATCAGCAATCCAAGCCAAATTGTAACGCCTTGTCGCCACCAGCACCGTCCCACAAACCCCCAGCGATGCCGTCCCATATCCGGCATGGGCCTTGCACCCTGAGCCGCCCGGATTATCCTAGATGCATCAGGCCATCGAGTCGAGGACCTTCTGGGAGGGTGGTATCCGTGTCTTGTGCCGGGGTCGGGGCGGCAGTTGGGAGGAGAGCCATCAAGACGAATAGGAGGATGGCGATGAGGTAAATGGGGGTCTTGGTAGAAATAGTAGTTTGATTCCCACCCCCTTCTCGTCGCTGAGTTCTTGGTGTTTGTGTGATGCCACGGAGGAAATTTGTTTGTGGGGAAAGAAGGAGTGAGTTAGTTTCCACGGAGGGCTTATGTCGGGGCGAGTGTGTGGCTGCCAAAAGGTGATTGGAGGTGTCGAGTCATACCCTATGATGCAACCCTGTTTTGAGTCAAATACGGTAGTAGATAATCATTGACCCTAGTTTTTCTACCCCGAGGAATCGACAACCGTGCAAGGACACGGCGGAATACCCCCTGCCCCCGGGACACGGGGAGCCAGGAACAGGCCCGAAAAGCACCCAAGAAGTCAAACAAGAGGATAACGAAGGGAAATACTGGGGAATTGACTAAATATCATACTCCGGTATGAGTTTCCGGTGCCCCAAAGCTAGTAAAGCCAAGCAATCAGGGGATGGTATGATACCCCTAATTCCCCCCCTCCCCCTGAATCCCCTCTCAGAGAGCGAGCTGTGACCCTACAGTCCAGGTCACGGCCAGATATCATAACTCACACCGTGGAGACCCCAAACAAGGAACGAGTAGAGGTCCGCTATTCAAGATCGCTAGACCACGCCAACATCTCTAGCTACACCTAAACAGAGCCATAAAGATGTTGATGAGACAAGATACAGAGGGAAGTAAGAAGAAGAATAAATCACATTAGAATGTTGAAGTGAGCAAATCGTTCTATATAATCACATCTAGCATAGGTAATGGCCCGCTCCACGGTCCTGGAAAAGCTCTCTATCGCGCACTTCCACCAAATGCCCCGCGGCGATGTTCTGACAGCTGAGAGAGAGAGAAAGATATCTAAATTATATATCATACCCTATCCGATAAAGTATCTACCGGACATAAGGAACTAGAGGACAGCCGACACCAGCATAACCCAACCGAGTGATAATGAAATACAGAGATACCCCCTATCTAGTAGTACAAATAATAAAAACGGGAATTTAACCAGAATAAATCTATACACTCCCCCAGAGTCTAATCAAACCCGCCTTTGCAACACAAAATAAAATAGTTCCATCTCATTTGTCTACTTTCGAGGCTGCGTCCCTTGCTTTCTCGGTTTATTAACGCACCCGTGCTTTAGCTTATGCTCCCCCCACGCCTTCCCCCCACACTCATCCGAGCAGTACCTCACGACCCCGCGACAACTCCCGCCACACATCCTCCAAAGGCCCACCTTCCCACAATGAAAGCACGTGCCCCAGGGCCCCATTACTGCGGTCCTTTCCTCATCAGCTAGCTCTCCGTCTTTGACGTCAAGCTTCAATTCCCAGAGGTCATTGAAAGCGCGGGAATGTGGGCGCTTGCTTGGAGCAAATTCTGCATTTGTGTATCCGCCAAACAAGTAAGTCTTTCCAGACCCAGTGTCGAAGAGGAGGTGTCCCCGCGCACGATACGTGGGAAACCCACGGGTGAGCACTTGCGCCCATTTTCTAGTCTTCGGATGCCAAGTGTAGGTATCGGCGTAGTAGGCGTAATTCAATTTCAAATCCCTCCCGGGTAAGTACGTGTTTGTAGTCCCGCAGTAACCACCAAAGGCCACCACTCGGTCCATTCTCTCGTTATAGATTGCAGAGAATTCGGTGCGTGGAGATGGGTAGTTCCCGCGCGCCTTTTCGCGGGTCCAGGATCTGCGGGGGATGTGGTAGGACCATATATCCTCGTAGGTATAATCACAATCGGCGCCGTACGGGCCGGTGGGGTTGGAGATTTTCTCACCTATGCGATTGGCGTTACCGTACATTATGAAGAGACGGTCTTCGGATGGGAGAACCCAGGTTACTGGGTGCACGCGGAGCATCGGGGAATCGTAGGTTGGGGTAGGCTGGATGGTGCCAGAAAGCCACTCCCAAGAGAGGGTTTCCAAGTCCAGGCACATGAAGATATTGCAGCCGAGTTGCCTGCTCCCATCTTGGCCGCCAAAGATGTACATTTTCCCATTGTGGATTTCCATTCCGTAGTCGAGGAGAATATCGTGGAGGTACGGCCAGCTTTTGCCCGGGATGTTGAACCTTGTTGTCTTGGATGCCCACTTCTCTTGCGCAAGGTCGAAAGTCAGAATTTTCCTACTGCCGTGGAAGAGATACGCCGTGTTTTTCCACGGTTTCATGTGGAGGCCAGGGGTGTAATTGTTGCGCGGGCCACCCTTGGAGTTTGACGGGATGTCTTGTAATCGCCGCCACGTCCTGCCTGCCGGCCCACCGCCAAGAGGCAGACACCATAGATCCCGGAGGTTTTCTTGGATCGCTCCCTGACCACCGACAACATATAGCTTGCCCCTCCATATCCAGCATCCCATGGGCACCCTCGGCGATGGCGGGCGGTTGCCCTTCGTAGCCATATACCGGAATTGACCCCACTTGCCACGGACCTGAAGCTCAGGGTAATCCACCCGTAATCTTCCTTCCAGCAGGATGTCCGGATGCCGGTATTCGGCATACCTCGAGGGGTTCGCCTCCTCCTCCAGTTTAACCATTCGTCCGGTTTTTGATTCCAGAAGTGAACTGCAGATACTTGCCACAGCTGAGGAATGGTGCACAACGTTGGATGTATTTTTCAGCGCCAGGAAGCTCTGAGATAATCGAAGGTGACATTTCTGCTGGTTGAGGTAGTACTCCTCAACCAGGAGGTTTGTATTTTTCCAGCCTAGTATCAATTGTACTCCAGTTAGCCCGTCCAGATATGCCACATGGGCACGGTAAATATAGCGGACTCACCAAACAGCGGCACCTTCTTTCCAAACAGCTGATTCATGTAAACCACCACAACCTCCTGCAACCACTCTAACGCCTACCCTCCAATCAGCCAATTCCCCACCTCACCCGTTGCTTCGACAGAAACTCACCTCCCCGATATTCCCCTCCTTAATGAAGCACTGCGCCATGTTACTAAAGCAAGCGACAGCATCCATCATTTCTCGCCATTCAAGCTCCATATACTCGTTAACTTGCACACACCCTGGCGCAACCGGAAATTCAAATTCCTCGCCCAAAATTTTCTTCGCTGCTAAAAGGTATTTAGCTCTAGCTAGTGCGAAGTAACCTTTCTTGTACAATTCATTGCCCTCATGTTTGTCGTAATTGCAGACGATGAGACGGTAATAGAGGGGCTGCGTCTGATGTATTAAGCGCAGGAAGCCCGTAAATGCAGAGCGGTCGCCGGCATTGCACATTGCATCAAGAGTTTTGAGCTCTGGCCGGAAGGCGGCGGCTTTTTGGAGGACGATGGAGTTGTTCTTATTCTTGTCCGGGCCTGGTGGTCTAGACTCCGGCGTACCCTTGTTTGTCGCAGGAGGCATTGTGGATGCGTGGAGCGTTATAATTATTAGTTGAGAGGGTGGCGAAGAGAGAAGAAATAAAGTTAGGAGAGATTTCGGACTTCCGTTAATCCTATATAAAAGCTTTTGATATGATAGAGTTTCCGGGGTATGCTACCAGTACTTTACAGGGAGGAGCGTGGCTGAGACGAGGCCAATCCTTGTCTTGGCATGAAGCCGGGTAGGGTTAGGTTATGGCCCTCTAGCACACGGCGTTTGTGATGAGGAGGCGCCCAATGATCCCGAGGTGAACTGACCGTTAAATTAGACTACAAACTACTCGAGTATGCAGTGAGGCTTACTTGGTGGAATGAGCTCTCATTGGACAAGGCCAACAACAGCAACCCCAAGCCCCATACGAACTGTTGAGGTGATAATACCAACTTCACCGCCCAACCGGCAAGAAACCAGAATTGAAAATGGAACCTTGGACGCCTCTAGGACCCGCACAGACAGCGCGAGTACTGTCGGTAGGGATACGGTGCCAGGCCCAATTGAACCATCCTTTAAGTACCCCACTGATATCCCCCAAGTATGCCTATAATCCGATCACAACCCCCATTAATCCTAGCACTGAGACTCTATCAAATAACAAGAAACGCAACGAAACAATTGTAAGCAGAGTAGAGTATTCATCAGTCAGTCGTAAAACAAAGGAACAAAGACGTGAGTCAGCAATGATATCATACAAATAAAAACACCAACCAGTTTGGCAGCCCACAAACTAAAACTAAAACGAAACCCCAACTCCCCTTCCTATCCTTATCTCATCCAGCATCAATAAACAGGTATCCGAAAGATATGTTAAAAAGAAAGCAAATAAACTCCCCACTCTGGCACATTTTTCCCCGTATCCAGCATCGCAACCCTGTTTTTCTTCTTTCCCTCTTCCCCTTTTTTCTGAGCAATGAGTCTAAAAGGTCAAGAAGCGGCTAAGCGTCTTCCGAACGCTAAATTTCGGCTTCTCTCCGCCTTCTTGCTTCTCCACCGCCTCGCTCCCTCGGCGCTTTGTCTTCTTGCCTTTAGCTTCTTTCACCTCCTTCTCCGAGAACGTCACAGCCGGGGCATCCATAGACTGGGCTCTTCGCTTCTCCTCCTTTCTCGCGCGACGGACCTCTTCCTCCTCTGGTGTTCTCTGCTTCTTTTCATGATGGCGATGTCTATGCTCCCGCTTACCCTCGCTGGAAAAGGAGTGGCCAGAATCCTTCGGTGCCTCCCGCTCAGCTTTGCGCGCACGGCGGGCAGCACGACGTGCCTCCTTTGCTGCTCTAACTTCCTCGGGGGATAGATAAAGTGCTGGCGCTTCAGATTCGGGGAACTCCGAAGCGGGGAACTCGGATGGGGGCTCCAGTTGGGAAACCGAGGGGTCAGCAGGGTAAGGGTTGTTGAGGTCGAAACCTAACTCCGTCCTTGCTTCTGGTCCGGGCTCTGTGTCAGGTTCTGGAAGAACGGTTTGGTCGTCGGGAGGCTCGATGCCGCCGTTTATGACGGTGGCGTTTCCATCGATCACGGTGCCCTCGCCATTAATCATAGTGCCCTCGCCGTTAATCATAGTGCCCTCGCCGTTAATCATAGTACCTTCTCCGTTAACTATAGTGCCTCCCCCATTGATGATTGTAGCCTCGGCCTTTGCGGCCCTGCGGGCGGCCTTTTCGGCCTTCCGCCTCTCCTTATCCTCCTTACTTTCTTTACCTTCCCTGCTGCCGCCCTTCCTAAGTTGTTCCTCTGCTGTTTGTCAGTTAAATGTGTCATTTAGCATCACTCAAGCATTGAACTTACCAAGTTCTCTACCCTTGCGCAGTGCCTTCTCTTCATGCCTTTTCCTCCTCTCTTCCCGTTCCTCGGGAGTCATGTGTGCATGAGAATGTTTTTTCTTGGACTTCTTCCCATCCTCAACATCGGTTTCTCCGCCTGATTTCTTGGCGCCAGATTTTCGCCGATGCCTCTTCTCCTTTTCCGGCTGTTCCTCCGCCACCGTAACCTCTGGTTCGCCATCCGCGCCAATACCAGCCTTAGAGCGACGGCGCCGGCGCTTTATCTTATCATCCACCAAAGGCGGAGGTAGATCGTACTGGCCACCGACCGCCTCATCGTCGACGACGGTGATGGTTGGCGGAGCGGTACCGAATTTTGCTGTTAATTTCGCAGCGCGCCTCACGTCTTTACCTGCTTTCTCTTCAGCAGTTTTATGTCGCTTTTCTTTTTCCCCCTTTTCCCTCGGCTCCTTAGGCTCCCTAACCTTAGGCTCTCTTTCGCTCCTGTCGCGATGTTCTCTTTCGCCTTTGTCGCGGTGTTTTCGCTCCTTTTCTGGCTTCTCGCTCTTGTCTCTTCGCCTATGCGACTTGCGGTGCTTAGGCCTGTCAGCGCCTATATCGGGCGCATCGGCAGCAGAAATGGCCATGGCAGCTGCAGCGGCGGCAGCGGCAGCCTCGTCGTCTAATGGGCCGTCGAGGGTTGAGCGAGGTCGATCGATAAAGGGGTCTTCTTCGGAAGGTAGGTTGAATTGCGAGGATTCCTCGAGGGCGCCCGGCATGGTAGAGAGTTGAGAAGACATTGGGCCTAAAAGGGGGGGAGGCTCGATAAGATCCGAAGTGGGGTCGGATTCAGGAGTTTCAAGCGGCGTTGGGTTAGACTCTGCTGGGAATGTTTCTAAAACCTCCTCAACGCCCTGTTTCACTGCAACCTGATCAGCTGGCAGGGAGGAGCCTTCTAAATCCGGATTCTCCACTGAAGTTTCTACCGGAAGAGGGTTATTGTTATCGTTATCGACGTCTGATTCCCCCTCGCGACTTGGCTCTCCTACCGCTCCCGGCGATCCCCGGCTTTCTTCCTCTGCGGGCGCGGCCTTTTCTTCTTGTTCCCGTCGGTCGTCCTTCGACTCGGACTCAGGCTCCGTCACAACTTGGACTGAGTCGGTATTTTCCTCGGGGACGGCAAGATTCTCTTCGACCGTAGCCTCTCCTGGATCGTCCGGCGGCTCAGATGTATTTGAGGGATCGTCTTTCTCCTTACTGTTCGCAGGCTCAAGGCCAGGATCGGGATCGGTGGCTGCGGGATTTTCCTCCGAATTTGCCTTCGAGTCAGGTGATTCCTTTTCTTCTTCTTTTCGCTCGTCTTCTTGGGCCGCTTCAACCGAATCTGCGGGTGGCTGGTCTTCTGGTGGAGTATCCTGTCCTTCGTGTGGAGTAGAAGTGGAAGCAGGGGGAGAAGGTGGGTTATTCCCTTCAGCTTCGCCTGAGGCTGAGCCCGTGTCCGGATTCTGGTGGCCTTCTTCTGTCGAAACAACAACGGCAGCGGAGTCTTCCTGAGTCGCGGACTCGGTCGCACCTATGGCGCTCGCTTAATTTTTAGCAATAAATCGTGTTTGTGGAACGAACGGGTTCCTTGTAAAATAAACTGCCCCTCCCCCTATCAGAAGCTACGGCACTTGCAGATGATTGGAATAGAAGAATGCATTTAAAATGTTCTCGCAGGTGGTTGGAACAATAGAAAGAGAGGGATTATTGTGCTATAATTCCCTTCCCGAGTACAATAGAACGAACGAAGGGTAAGAAGGGAGGGGGGGGAAGTTGAAGAGAATTGAGCAGAATTGAGGAGAATGGAATTGAATCTCACCTCCAGGATCACTTTTTTCTGTAACGTCTGTATTGTCAATGTTTTCCGAAGGAGTAGAAGGGGTATTGTCTCCCCCATTTCCTTCTTCTCCATCCTGGTTGTTCTCCCCTTCTTTCCTGCTCTCACCTTGGTCCACGGCAACACCTCCATCCTCCTCTTCCGTTGTCGCTGCGTTGTCTGCCTTCGTTCCATCCTCGTTGTCCTGCGTCTTGGATTCTTCGATCGGCGGTTGGCCCTCTTGCCCCTCCTCCCCAGTATCCTCCAACCGCTGCTGCTCTTCATCAATCATGATTGCAGTGAGTATCGTCAAGAAAAAATTATCGACTCTGGCTCCAGAAACGACACACACACACTTCAGGGAAAAGAAATAATAATAAAATTCTCATCTGATTTCTCTCGAGGAGAATTGTGGGTGAATGGAAAGTTTTGTACGGGAAATCCAGTCAGAGGGTACCACCACCCCACTCCGTGACCTGACGTTTGATAATCAACATGCAATTGGAGCCACGTCCCGACAAACCTCACCCTTTTCTCTTAATTCCGGGAATCCGAGTGGTCGATTATGGCAACATTAGGAAGGAAAGGAAAAGGGGGAGAGAAAACGGGAGAAAGGTGTTTGTTCAACCCACACAGAACAGGCGCGGCACACCACCACTGCGAGAATGAGCACCATAATACCACAATTACCAGCCTCTGGCTAGATAGCCATCCCTTACCCCCCCCCAAACCCTCTCGCCTCTCCCTCCTCCGCAGACAGTCCGCAAATCTGACGGGAGACTTGTCAGAATGCGCCCGTTTGAGGTGCCTGCAGAGACGTGGCGGATGATGTCCATTGGACGGTTTGTTATCACGAGTTAACTCGGTTTGATAGGGAGAACTGAATACGTGGGGCTTCCTTCCGTCGCTCTTGTGTCCAACTGGAATAGACCATCACCCCGTTGGCACAGTACAACATGTCCGGTACCATACCGTACCTTGGGTGCAGGTACTTTACCCCGCCACCCGACACAATATGGTACAATCTCACTTGCTTCTGCGCTGGATCAATTGAAGTAGTACTCTACTCCTTTTGGCTAGTGCCGAGGGGAGCCGGGATACTCGAGCACTTGAGTACTATACGAGTACGAGTACAATAGTGAAAATAATAATAAAATATGATACAAATAAAAAAATAAAATAAAAGGCACGATACAGTAATCTTTAAATTCCTCCCTTTGCCTTCCCGGACTTGCTTCTCCTTGCGTTGCCTGTTGCTCTCGCCCGCTTGCCAGGACCTGTCCGAGGACCAAGTCACCAAGGACAACTCATCTCGAACCCCCAACTATTATTCGCAGACCCCGACAAGAGGAATTCCTCCCCAACCAGAATCGAAAATACCCGCAGAAGCCTCAAGTACCTTCCTATCGACCTTCCATCTCTTAATCGAACAGGAAGAAGAAAAATTGATCCTCCTCCCCGCTCCGCTCCTCTCCTCTTCTCGCTTTTACCACAATATTTCTTATTTAAAAATTGCTTCCCCTTACCCCTCGCCGCCGCCGTAATTGTATAACCTCCAAAGATCGAAGAAGTCCGCCATGGTCGAGCAGGAAAAAAATTTTCAGCTCACCGCGGCCGTGGGCCGGTTCATTAGCTTGTGGCTTTCGCCTGCTGCTTTATCGGACGGGCTCTCGCCCAAAATCCGATCCCAGCAGGATTAGACTAACCCTGACCCTTTCACACCCGGTGCTTCTTGTCCTTCATTTAATATTCGCAATAGCCGTCGGCTGAATGCCGGTATCGCACTTCGGAACGAAAAGAGGATACCATAGAATTTGTGAGAATGAGGGCTTTTTCCTTTTCTGTGCTGCAGTTGACCGCGCACTGCGTACTCACTGTTTCTCACTCGATTAACAGTCGTAGGCGTTAGTCGACTACCGGTAGTATGGCATCCCCGATTTCTAGTGTTGCGAGAAATGGAGCTAAGCAGCAGCCTGCAGAGGTGACGCCTGCGAAAGCTGCGGAGCGCCCCAGCACGAGTACTCGTAATGGCGGGGGGGGGGTAAACGGCCGGGCGCCTGGTGTATTTGAAAGGCTGGTTTTTCTGCTGACGGATGCCGCCCTCCGTCAGACACGTATTCTGGTGGCCAACCTTTAAGCCATATTCCATTCGTTCGTTTGCAGGCGGTGCTTCAGTACGATACGGTACTCGGGTATCGACGCGGGTGACCGAACAGCCAGCGATTATAGGTGTCAAAGCTTCTTGCTTGTTTGGGTTATTTTCATGGCAATCGATTCTTTTATTTCCTGTGAGGGTGGAGCGGTTAGGCCCCTAGAATCCCTAGCTGTCCGGTATCCCACGTCCTTGCCCGAGTATGTACATGTCAGGATGTACCGTAGGGTGAAGTGCGGGGCCCGCCTGTGCCTGTGCATCGGAGAGCCACAACGCCTGACATGCCTTGCATTCCAGACACCGCGGCTGATAACACCATCTTGGTCGACGTTTGACCGGCCTGGAGTGCCGAACTTAATGTCTGATGAGGCTGCGGCACAAGTGCCGGTGCAGGCGCAGGTAGGCACGGGACGGGATCTGATAGAGCCGACGATATCTTAGTCGTCCCTTGGTCGGTCTGGCAAAGTAAAATTCGCGGCCAGGCTGGCTGAGTCCAGATGGGGCAACCGCTAACCAATTCGGGTTATGAATCCGGGCTTTTCAGCGTTAAGGTGACTCAGCACCTTAGCAACCATTAATTGCCAACGAATTACAAATACTCCAACGCCCCCAAACAGGGCTAGCGTGCCCGGTGGCGAGTATTGCAGCTTTACTCGTGGAACCCCTCCAGGACCACCATGGGTCGTGCAAGTACCATTGTACTCGAGTATTAGGCCAACGCCTTGGAGCTGCTGAGTTCACCCATGTTGCGGTAGGCTAGGATATTGTGAAGAAACCCAAGATCGGAGTCCGGGGAGAGAGATATTTCTCGCTATATCTATTTGTAAGAAGTAATGTATCGTACGAGTAACTTGCCGTGAATGTACTGTTTTTGTTGTCTTGATGCCGTCATTCTCGGCCCCGAAATCACCCTGGCACTGCTCTGGAACCCCAGTATCTGTTTTGGGTCTGCTCGAGTAGAACGGATGAGTTCAGTCTGAGAAATCAGTCTGTGGAGATGGACGTTGCTGCTCTGGGATTACTCCCGCGCAAGGGGGTTGCAATATAAGGTAAGCAGCCGCGGCTATAACGCTTTGGTCTAGTCATGATGGGTCTTCCGGATTCTCTTGTCCTGATCGTGTTCTCGACCGGCGGGGCAGGGTTTTCGTGGTTTAGAACTGAGCGCTTGACTAGCCGATCGTTCAGCCTGGTCACAGGGCAGAATGCTCCACCCGGGACAGGGTTTAAGCACAAAGCCTTTGTGACGAAGAGGATTTACCGTACTGTGCGCGAATTAGTTGCGAATACCAGGGTTTAGGAGAATGAGCAGGACTATCTGGATGCTCCTCTCCTTGCTTTGCACTGTGCACCAGACCGCTGATAGGTCGTGTTCCAGGGTCTAGACCCACTTGGAACAGTGGGTGGGTTGCGACATTTCTGAGAGTCTGGCGATGGTCTTGATAGTTCATGTTCTGCGATGCTGGTCCGACTGATAAGGGTTTTCATACGGCTTTGCCGTTTTTTGGCCTTGCGGTGGGCCGGCGGGCTGAGGTATGTAACCGCTAGTCTATAGGAGGATTACTGTCCTCTCCGGTTTCATAATGGTGGGGTAGACAGTTGGGTAGCCGTCTAGAAAATCGAAGGTGGAGAAGGGGAAACCAAACGGTATCAGGGTTTTGAAAATTGCGATGGCACTATAACTTAGGGCGTACTCCAAAGGGGAAAGTGAGGCATCCAATTCTGCCACCCCATATGATACCTCTCTGCCTAGCACCCTCGATATTCACCATCCTACACCACTAGTGCAATACCGCTACGAGTACTATGCCTGTACCGGTACCCCTACGAATGGATGAATGTGTGAATCAATCGATGAGCGCGTGAATGAGTGGATAGTCTATGTGGATGTGTGGGTTCAAGGGAAAGATAGTAAGCAGAGGGCTTCTTTTTGTAAAACATTGATATGGAGAGGGTCAGTTCGGACTGTTCAAACAATGAACTATTCGTCACGTTGTATAAAGTTGACCCACCTTACCACATGAGGGGACGGTGGCATAACCGCTGTGATACTGGACAAATTCGATAGCGAACCTACTTGTGTAGCAAAACCTCCCTGCTGGTAGCATATCTGGTTCCCAGGTCGTTTTTTGTATGGAGGAGGGGACTTAAGCAGAAGTCGGCAGACCGGCGCCTCTGGATCCCGTTGGCCAAATGCGGGAGGTCTCGAAATTTCCGAAAATTATATTTGATGCGAAGGAGGGGGAGGGGGGTGCGAGAACTAGTAGTCTGCCGAGTGCTCGAGCACAGTGTCATTGTTCAGATTTCAGATTCCTGCCTGTGCTCCCACCGGCTCCAGGAGCTCTCCACTAACTACTAGACTATGACTCACGGCTTCAGACGTCCCCTCACATAAGCTTACACACCTTTCGCATGTGAATAGCTAGGTCAGCTTAGTAATAGAGAGTCTCACCGTGCCGGCTCAACTTGATTCAGACAGGAAATTTTGTAGCTCGTGAACTGCGAACTGGAACTAGAAAAAGGTTGGCGGTTCAGAGGCAGTGGGAATAGCGTCGAAATTGGTGGAACAGGAAACTACGATCACTGGTGTCGAAAGAATCTAAGGCCAACAGCAGCCCACACACTGCAACCCTAGATAGCAGTTCCCCCCTCCCCCCCCCCCGGTTCGGAGCATTGCTGTGGTCTCTTGAGAACCTTCTAATAGATTTTTCTCGGGCCAGAAGCGAAATTACATGGCGAACCGGGAAGCCTCGTTGCGTACTGCGATGAACCACCTCGGGACGTAGTGCACATCCCGTATCCGAACTAGTGCTGAGACCCTCCAATCTCCCTCCTGGCGCGCCGAGATGCCGATACTTGTACGGTATCGGTGCCGTAACAGGGACTTGAATTCCTCCGGATTTCGGTTGGCGTCTGCGGCTGCAGATCGACATTTCCATGGCTGGTAAGCTCCCCCCTGGGGTCGCGCCGGTCTACGATTGGGTGGGATGACGATGAAACCCGCAGAAACCTTTGTGAGATGCCGACCTACGAGTATGAAGCATATCATCATTCTTTTTTGATGCCCTCGGGACGCTTTTTTCGGGCTGCTGTTCATTAAGCCTGCTGTAAACCTACGTCATAGCATTTAACAGAAATATAATTCTTGCAGTGATATGTCGGAGCTCTTGCCTACCGTCAGTACTCCACGCCCCCTAAAGTTCTCTGTGGTCTTTCAAACTCGGCTTTTCTTTTATTCCCATTTGATATATTGGTACTATGGATCCTGAGGAAGGCTACCTTGCAACTGTCGGTGGTGCTGCGTCGGTAGTGGCGGAGGTGGCTCCCCTGTCTGAGAGGGCAAAGGTACCTATCCCGAGAGGTAGAGCATTGAGCAGCAGAGCTGCAGAACGAAAGAACAAGAGGGCATCTCATGCTTGTGAGCCGTGCAGACAACGGAAGACTAAGGTAAAAACAAATGAACGCGATAGCGGGCTATTGCTAACAAACATGATTTTTATAGTGTGATGTGCGAAGGCAAGTCGACTGCCCCAGGCTCCTCGGGTTTCCTTTTGGATATTTTTTCTCTCTCTCCTCTCCACCCTTATTGGGATATCATCCTAACTAATAGCCAAAGGCCAGTGTGCACCCACTGTGCTGACTACAAAATAAATTGCTATTATGGTGAGGGCAAAAGAGAGATGGCGAGGAAGTAAGCTTTTCTCCGTCTGTGCCCCTTTGAGCATGTTACCTGTATCTGAAGGCAAGGAGTGGCAATGACCTTTTCTAGGCGGTTACAAGAGCTCGAAGCGAGAACAGAGGCTTACGAGAAGCTACTAAAAGAGCTTCTGCCAGGATTGGATAGTGCCGCGCAAGTAACTGTCCAAGACGCCCTCAAAGTAGTGAGCTTCCCCTTTTCAGATTGTACGAGTGCATGCATCTCATAGTGATATTTGCTCCAGCCGCGAACGACTTCTGGAGCGGCCAGGAAATCCCCTCGCGAGCCAGTCATACAAGAGAGTCAACGCCCAGCTCGCCCTCTTAGTAGCGACTCGGAGTCCTCGGATGACCGGGATTCAGATGACGATCCGGACCACCTTGCAGAGGATATCAACACGCTTTCTATTAACAACCCTATCGGGTATATGGGCAAAAGCTCTGAGGTTTTATGGATCAATCTTCTGAAGGAGGAGATTAGGAGTTATCCTGATGGCATTCCGGTCGAGAAGTCGGATCAGTTGGAACGTAGCGCATCGGGACAAGGCGAAGAAGCCGGTAAGAGTGGTCCACTGGAACCTCTCACCCCAGTCACTACTCCTTCCCCGAATTTTGAGCTAACCGAAAAACATCCCTAGGATGGACATACCACCTTGATGACATTGATATCTCCTTCTCCGACAAGCAAATCGACGCCTACGCTCTCCCGCCAAAAGACTTGGCAGACTCGCTGGTTAACATATACTTTGAGACAGTTCATCCCTTATTCCCGATCATTTATAAAGGGCTTTTTAAGCATCAATTTGAAGTGCTTTATCAGACCCGGGATCCTGCAAAGGTTGCTAGAAAATGGCTCGCAATAATGAACCTGGTGTTCGCGATTGGGGCGAGACACTTATCCATGATCGGTGAAGACGAGGCAGACGTCTGGCAACATGTAACCTTCTTTCTCCGTGCAAGGCTCTTGGGAGCACTGGATGGAGGGCTGGTGTTTGAGATTGCTACCCTCCAGAATGTCCAGGCGATGGGACTAACGGGGATGTATTTACTGGCTAGTAAGCAAACAAATCGGTAGTGTTCGCCACCTCTCGAGCTATTTCGCTACTGAATCGCTATATGGACTGCTGATATTGGGTGCTTGAAATGATAGTTCCTGGAATGTTGCAGGGCTTGCGATCCGTCATGCATATGGCATGGGCCTCCATCTCCGAACTGTAGCTTCGACCCTTGACGCTGGCCAAAAGGAATTGCGTGTTCGGGTTTGGTACTCTATTTGTTACCTAGAGGCAACCCTCGGACTTATTACAGGGCGACCGTCTGCGCTACAGGCTCACCAAAGCAATGCACCGTTGCCCAGGTCAAAAGACTTCGACCCCGAATCTGGTCCTGCGCAGGACGCATATTTCACCGCGCTTACTAAGCTGTCGTCAATCGCATCCGAGGTCCTAAGCCAGCTGTATTCCACGCGAAGTAGGCTTGTGATGCAAAAGAGCTGGGAGCATCTTCAGGAGACCATGGAAAGAACTGACAGACGGTTAGAAAGATGGAAGAGCAAGCTGATCCCGAGTTTGTCGTTCGGTGCCGCCCCGGGCAACATCGACAATTACAACAATTTTATGAGCCAGGTAAACTTCTCCCATCCCTGCAAACTTTTTGTCCTAAATTCGAATAGAGGGTCGACCTTGCCCTTCGTTACCACAATATTAGAATCCTGATATTCCGCCCATGCGTCTGCCAATTAGAACTTGGCGTTGCTAGAGAAATCGGCTTTAGTCAAGAATTCAACCGTTGGGGCGCCCGCACCTGCGTCAGCTCTGCCCGGAATATCGTCTCTATCATTACTAATACAAGTGGAGATAAACGAGAGCAATTGATGAAGATCCCGTGGTGGTGCATGCTGCACTACCTAGTCGCTGCTGAAGCAATCCTGCTTCTTGAAACGATTCACCAGAGGGCTTCGAAAGTCGACGGAGGTATTTTCGGTGATATGTATCAAGTTGTCAAGTGGCTGCATGAGATACCGGGAAACGACATGGCGAGTAGGCGGACGCACGAGCAATTGAGCAAATTGTTGGAACGAGTATTGTCGATTGTAGAGAGAGAGACCGGTGATTCGGGGGTCCGGGGAAACAAGAGCGAGGAGTCGGGGCAAAAGGACAAGACAGGGTGGCTGAGGGATGACTTTGCCCTTCATATGGCAGAGCAAGGGCACATGAGGTCCGGGGACGATCTATGGGATCTTGAGAGGAACTTTGAGATGCAATACTTTTAGGGGCTATTTGGCACGACGTGGCTGGGATCTCAAACCATGGTTTGAGCCTGGGTCATTACCCGCAACCACTTGTACACTTGGTAGACATGAATTACAAACAATGGTTTGCTACAACCTATGGTTCGAAAGCTTAGAAACAGGGCACATTGTGATGGTGAAAAATATCCCGCAAAACATCTCCAACAAACTCTCACCGCGTCATTAGTTTCATTGGACCCTAATACGTGTATCGCATTTCCTAACCCCCCAGTTTTTCTCCTAGGCCTAGCTTATGCTACCCTCTGTATTTTGAAAGATGGTGCTAATTAGCGCGAGGTGGCCGCGAACCATGGTTTGAGGCGGACAAGATTTCCAAAACACATCGTGTCAAACAGCCCGCTAGTGCCTGAACCTAGACAGTGAACTCCTATGCGTTTCCACGTCAATAACACCTGCATCTGGTCGGGACACCTAGCGCGACCACTCACCGTGGGCGAATCACTTGCCGAGTGATAAGTTGTGAACGGTCCCACCGGCGATCGAGCCAAGGATTACGCAAGCATTATCACAGGTTACGAACGATAGACTATAGTCTTTGGTGAGCGTTGATGGCCTCTGGGCAAACCTAGCAATGTGGTGCCGAGAGCCACTAGGCCATGGAGAATACAACTGGGTGTCGCTTTGGACGGGCACGCTGTTATCTGTTCGGGTTTATGCAGCCGGGTATTACCCCGGATTGCGATAGGGTGTATCGTAGCGAGTTTCAGAGCTTATTGAGGGGAGATGGGGATATTGGGGGTTGTTGTGGCTGATCGAGGAATGAGATGTCACTCGGGTTGAGTTGAAGATAAGCGCTCAATATTATTTCTTCTGATATTATACTTCCGTGCCCTGGTTCCCTGAGATTCGATCAATGGCAGTGTATTCGCCGCCTGCCTCCCAGAGTGTTTCCCCGCCCTTTGGTCACGACAACGAAGTCTGTTCAGGTACTCTTGTTCGTATTTACGCTTGCGCGGGGCTCGTTATAATAATTAGTGTGGATTGTGCGGTCCCGTTTTACTTGAGCACTCATCGGGTGCCACTGCTCCCTTTTCTTCCTAATTTTCTTGCTTTCTTTATACTCTTTGTATTCCCTTTGTTATTCCCTTGGCTTCTAGTAATCAACAACTATGCCCCCCCCCCCATGAATCTGGCTTTCCGAAAGCCCAATTCGAACATCGTAGTTCTTCTTCTACCCGCATGATATAGCGCCTCTACCATTCATCACGGCATCTCGTTCCCCTCCTTCCCAATTTCCCTCCAGTATGCGGGTTGTAGGCACTGGAACGCCGGGGGTACGCATTCGACTAAGCGCTGGATGGATGGTAGAGATCTATAAAGGATACCGTATCCCTTCGCTCTACTCAAACAATTCAGCAAGCAATAGATCGACACAATCAAGATATCACTATCTGCTGTACGTATCGTACTTCTACCATACCTTGACTTCCACCCCAACCCCTCTCTGCATCCTATTATTTGCATATTCGCGAATACCCCCACTTACCATCGGCCCAGGCATTTTCGGAACCCAGGTTTTGTGATCTGGTTCGCTCGCTATTCTTGGATCGAATCGGATTAAGTCTAGGCTAGGTTGGGGGAAGGGGGGGAGGGGGGGCATAGCGGGGGTGGGTGTGACAGCTTAGCTGCTAGGGCCCTGGGTGGTGCTAAATGATGTCCTAACTTGCCGCAGATACATATAAAGGATATTAGTACGGCCCGTAGGGGACTAGGATTAACAATAATTCCTCATGCCAAGTTCCTCGAGTATCGGTGGATTCTTTAATGTGGGGTCGAACTTATCGGACCAACCCCAATCTTATTATTTTCAAGCAGCCATGATACTCACCATGCTTGCCCCAAAAACTCTAACCCTGGATATACCATGTTCCGGGTGTCGGGGCGGAGGTTCTTGTGTATGACTAGGTTAACGGGTGGCCGCCCGCCCGATCATTTAGCGAAATCGGTAACGGTTAAGTGGGAAGCTACTGTAGCATCAGACATTTGCACCCGGGATTTGGAGATACGCTTATGGAGCGTGAATCGGGGATATTGCGTGCCAACTAGAGAGATGAGAACGTTTGGGGGCGCACCGCTTCTTGGGAAAAAGGGTGTATCATACGAGTACTGCACTTGGCCGTTTATATTTGGATAACTGCCGACTGAGGGTTTGTAGTGGATGATGTTGCACCGCCACTAGAGCTTTTTATAGTATACTATCCCAAGAATTAAATCTTACAGCCAATAACCTAACGCTCCCTCCTTTGGAGGGGTGGAGATACGCTCCTGTGGGCCGATGGAGGAGGATGAGAGGATGACCGAGGTTCAATATTGGAGGTATGATATGGGCCTAAAGAGATAGTGTCCGTTCCGCCCGTTTGGTGCCCTACAGCATCATTCACGTTCCGAGTAATTCATGATCAAGAAGCGTCGGATCGTAAAGTCGCGACCTCTCAGCCGAAATAGTTTTATCAAGTTGTATTTCAGTCCCCCTAGGAAGTCACAAGGCAGGGACACCTTGTTGCTCGGAACCCGAATCCCTCTGTTTCGGTATCCTAAGAGTAGAGTCAAGGGGGCTTGTTTCTGAGGTGCCTGTCGTGCACATTACCATCTACCAACCGGGATTTATCTTCGTGGAGCTGGATAAATTTCAATTGTGACTGTCCTGTGCCTGGTATGATACCGGACTGTTATTGGTACAGTACCCGAATACTCGATTGGCACAGTACCGGTATGTTGCAGGGGGAGCTTGGAAACATTCATTTCGGCTTGGTGTTGTGAATCTATGTTAATTTGCCAAGAGTGACTCCGCTACAGGTTATTCCCCTGGAAAGTTATCTGCGGTACCGGTATCTTAACCAAATCTGGTTTTCCAAGGAAATTAACAGTAATGAACATGCCAAGGACATTTCCCTTGTTCCAACCAAAATTCCCCCCTGTCATAAAACTCTATACGATTCTGTAACTTGCTTCTGAATGAAAATTTGAGATATACCTATTTTCCCCTCTACCAATGCGCATAGAACCATCCGATAGAGTCGTAGTCCTTATTGAAGTGGTTGAAAATCCCTTGGGGGTCGAATCTGAACAATATTTTCCCGGGCAAATGGCCCTGCCAAAATGGGGGTAACTCGATCTCATGAAATGGGCCAGGCACGAGGAATCGGGTGCGAGAAGAGGGGTCGTGCTGCCGGCTGTGATGGCGATGGTATCGGGACTGTCAATCCGGAATATGCGCGATCCCCAATTCATTGGTATCATATCGCACGAGTACAAGTACTCGAGTATGATAAGTTACTGTGAGATACGAGTATCATAGCTACCGGTACAGTACTTGGAAATCGACCCCAAATCTCCTCGTTGCCCTGAGTGCGAGCGGCCGAGTTTCTTGAACCGAGAGACCGTAATTTCATTCACCCATGAAAAACGTTTTCGCGACCAGCAGACCGACCAAGAATTTCCGCGGAGTCACAAGTCCTCAAAAGAAAAAAAAAAACTTGGAAAAAAAAAAAGTACACGAGTGTTCTAACCTCTGAAATACCCCCCCAGAAACCAGCTGCCTCATGATCCAATCATTTCAAATAAGAAAGTCATACCTGCTGGGGCGCGTCGCCCCGCAACGCGTCCGCATAATTGATTTTTCAACACGCGAAACCCTCCAAAAACCCATCCACAAACCTCGGCATCGTTCATTTGTTCTCACCACAACGACCCCCACTACCGCACGACGCACCATGCAGGAACCCTCCGTGAGCAGTTCCGCTGATTCGAGTCTGGGACGGTTTTCACTTTCCCCCTTGTCCCTTCCGGGGGGCCAGAGTTCCCCGCCGTCGGCAAAGAAACAGAAGACCTCTCACACACCGGGCTCGGCTAAACCGAAACAAACGTTGTTGAAGCCTCAGTCAATACTTAACAATTCGAAGAAGCCGCAAAGCACTTTTTCCTCCCAAGGCCCCAAGGGGAAAACGGGGAAGAACGGCTCTATATTGAGTTTCTTTAAACCGGTGTCAGCGGGTGCGGAAGGAAAGGACGCGGGCGGTGGCTATGGATCGGATGGAAAGAAACCCGTGGAATTTGGAGCAAAAGACGACGATTTGTTTATCAAACATGGAGGATACAACTTGGATGTCTCTGACCCGGAGGATGAAGGTGATAGTTGGTCTCAGGAATCTAAAATCGTTGGTAGGCCGGACTTTATCGACGAACTCTCGGGAGCTGAGGGGGGTATCTTCACAAGATTGGAGGTTCAGGAGGCTTTGGGAGAACAGAAACCGAACCCAGACAGCACATTTGAACTTGAGGGTGTGGCTTTGGAGGGAGGAACCGGCACTAAGGAATGCAAACCACCTCCACCCTCATTACAAGATCCGACTCTGGTCCATGCCGCCCTACCCGAGACGCCGCTTCCAAAACCTGATACCTCTACGGGCATGGCCTTCGATCCAGGGAGTTTGAAGCTAGATCGGGGTCGCTCAATGCTGTTCAGTAGAAAGGGTTCTACGCCAAGCCCCTTTCGCGGACTGAAAAAACGCCCTTGGGCAGGTATTACTGGCTTAGACGCACCAGGTGATGGGCCTTCCGTGGAGAGCACTAGTGACCTAGCCTGGAAATTAACGCTGGAGAAAACTATGGCTGAAAAGGAGGTCACGCATGCACCGGAGGACAAGGGGAGTCAATTTATTAGGGAGACGTCCACCGAAATCGATGGGCTCCTCCCGAACGGATCACAGAAAGATCGTGCTATCTTGATTGATGACTTCGAGAATATCGAGGACTTTGAAGAGGTAGGGTTCGAAGAAAACGAGGACAGACACCCTTTTGATCCAATCTCTGGAGCAATAGAGCAAGGCTTTCAGGACTTGGACGACCTCTCTCCCGAGGAAATTCAAATGATCATGGAACCAGATAATAGAAACCGGGGTATATCGCGGGATGAGGAAATAATATATTGCCCAATATGTGCCGTTGAAATTACGGGTTTATCAGAGCAGGTTGCGAATTCTCACGTCAATGGCTGTATAGATGGCCAGCCAGTGCCGCTACCATTCTCCAAGCCCAGCGTACAAGCTCCAGTAGTATCTCCGTTCTTCCTCAAAGGCCCCTCGCATATATCGAAAGTTCTGGAGTCACCCTCGGCATTCGCAAAGATAATGTCCCGCAACATTGAGTCACAAGCATGGGCGGCTGCCACGAAGTCCGAGACGGAGTCGCGTGGGAAACGGGGCGCGCAAAAAATATGTCCATTTTTTAAGACATTATTTGGAGGGTCAATAACCGTGGATGCGTTCAAATACGGCAGCATTCCCGGGTGCCGGGCATACTTTCTTAGCCACTTCCACAGTGACCATTATATCGGTCTGACCTCTAAATGGAACCACGGTCCTATATGGTGTTCCCGTGCTACAGCCAACCTTGTGCGCATGAAATTAAGAGTCGATCCCCAGTACGTGCGAGAATTCCCGTTTGAAAAGTGGACAGACGTGGTTGATGGAATTCGGGTGAGGGGATTGGATGCGAACCATTGCCCGGGCAGCATGCTATTCTTATTCGAACAGGACTGGGCCGAAAAACGGGGCAAACAGAGAATTCTTCATTGCGGTGATTTCAGAGCTTCGGCAAAGCATCTGAATCACCCTCTGTTGAAACCGGGAAAAAGCGGCGTTAAAGGGAAAAAGCTGGATTCTGTATACCTTGACACCACATACCTGGATCCGAAATATGCATTCCCTAGTCAAAAAAGTGTCATCAATGCTTGCGAAGAACTTTGCGTGGGACTTAATAGGGAATCGGCTTATGTTCCGAGAAGGATATCTGCGAGTGGGGCAGCTTTGATAACCGGGATGGGGAAATTCGTACAAGGTAGCGAAGTTGGTGGAAAGGGGAAAGGGAAGCTCCTCGTCGTTGTGGGAACCTATAGCATTGGAAAGGAGAAAGTCTGTTTAGGCGAGTCATTCATCCCAGGCGATGAGATTGTATCGGATATCGTGGTATTAATTGTTCCTTAAAATTAACAGGAGTAGCAAAAGCTCTTGGCTCCAAAATTTTCGCACCGCCGGATAAGATCAAAATTTGCCAGTGCCTTGAGGACGAAGAGCTTGACTCGAGATTAACCAGCGACCCGAATGAAGCGCAAGTCCACATGACACCACTAATGAAAATTGAGCCTAAGGTTCGCTCTCCCTCTCCCTCCCCAAGAATCTCCCCAACTACTAACAATGAACACAGTCCTTGCAAGACTACCTCAACAAGTTCAGCCCACACTTTTCTCGCGTAGTCGGCCTCCGCCCCTCCGGCTGGAGCTACAGAGTAAGTTGCTCTGCAACTCACGGTGTATCAATATAATAGCTGACCGAAATAAACTCAGCCGCCATCAAACCGCTTTACGGACTCCCCTTCTGTAAACAACGTTCTTCACTCCGCTAGCTGGAAGGGGGAGTACAAGGTGTCGGAAATGTACCCTAACCGTACAAGTACCAGAACTTCAAAATGTTATTCAGTGCCGTACAGCGAGCACAGTAGTTTCCGAGAGTTGACCATGTTCTGCTGCGCGCTGAATATTGGGAAAATCATTCCTACAGTCAAGTATTTCTCCTGATCTTCCATACTCTCCCCATTAACCTACTGACGAGGAGCACGTAGTGTTGGCAGTGAGGCAAGCAGAGATAGGATGAGCAGATGGTTTGAAAAGTGGGAGGTTGAGAAGAGGAAAAACGGGCTTTTCAAAATAGAGGGTGAGGAGTTCTAGCTTCTGACTAGTGGTTCTGATACGGCGTTCTGAAAGGGTGCTACTATTGATGAGCTATGTATTACATATTTGCTGTCTCGCGTCGTATAATAACGTTTATGGGTGTGCATAAGTGTTGTTTTTTTCTTTCGGGGGGGGTTTCATTTCCGTTTTACATGCACTGTACGGTACGTTACGGTCTCTGTAAATGATAGATCCAGTGGGATACGAATATAAGCGGTTTTTCCCCACGTCAGGCATGGAAGATGAAGACACCGAGTGATGTCTCGCAACCCCCAGACGCAGGCATGCACCCAATACCAGTATCAGCACTGTCTCGGATCACACCAGAAAAGTGGCCAGGGTAGATCCCTCAGGTTGGTCATACAAGTACTCGTACGTTAATCCAACGACCACCCCACCTTTTGCGACCCAACCTATGATCCTCCTGCTCACGTTCACCGTCCAGCCAGAAACGCAGTGGATTGGAGGGAAACAAATAAATAATCGTACCAACCGTGACTAAGCCATGTTACAGTTCCCCAATCCCCCTCACCCGGGTCCTAACCATCAAGAAATAAATAAATAAATAAAGAAAGAAAGTCCATAAACCCTCGATACATAATTACCTACACGGAAAGGGAATATAAAAAAAATGGGTGTGGGGGAAGAGAATAAAAAAATGAATAAGAAGACTAAGGTGGGAGGGAGGAGATGGGAGGAAAGAAAATGCCATGAGGTGAGAGAATGGTGCATCACGCCCTCCAGAATCTCAAAAGCACCTTCTTAGGCGCCACCGTCAACGTCAGATCCATCATCGGGCCGGTATAGGTATCAGCAACTTCGATCCTCGCATACTTTTGCAAGATTCTGGTTACGGTGTATGAAGCCTCGGTCAGGGCGTATTGTTCTATCCGCACAACAAGTCAGCAAACCTCTCCACTATCTATTACCAGAGGGTGGATTAAAAAATAAAAAAAAGCATACGTCCAAGACAGATCCTCGGTCCCCCGTTAAAGGGCAAAAACTCCCAGCCTCGCCCTACACCTTCTCCCCACCTCTCCGGGCGGAAAGTGTCCGCATCCTCGCCGTACAGGTCCTTTCTCCTATGAAGTCCATAACAAGAATAGTCCACCCTCTGTCCTTTGGGTACGAATACAGGGGATAGCCCGTCCTCCCCGCCACCGCGCGGGAGGATGGTGTTGCGCACCGCGGTACGCCCGTTCAGTGGGACCGAGGGGTACAAGCGGAGGGTTTCGTTGAGTACGTAACGGAGGTATGTGAGGTCTTTAAGGGCGGAGAAGGAAGGACGCTTCCCCCCGCCATCCCTACCGGTGCCGAATGCCGAGATAATTTCCTCGCGGAGTTTCTGGTAGATGTGGGGGTGGCGGGCTAGGAGCCAGAATATGAAGCCGAGGAGGCCGGCGGTTGTATCCCTGTCGACTCTCGTTAATTGGCTCCTTGGAGGAGGGGGTGGGGGAGGGGGAGTGATTACCGTCCAGCGAGAAGGATATTCAAAGTCTGGTCACGAAGGTACTTGGGATCCTTGGTTTCGGCAGCAATAGCATCCAGGAAAACATACTTCTTCTCGGAAATCTTCTTCGCGCGCTTCTCAGGGTGCAACGCCATATCAACGTATCTATCTACAAGCCTATGCACAATCGCATTCGCATCTCTAAACCTCTTTGGGTTTATCATCCAGTACAGTCCCCGTACCCTCGTGCGGTTGATCAAATATCCCTGCGAAACATTAAACGCCTGGGCGAACGACATCTCTCCGCCGCCATCCCCGGTGGGGTTCAGCTCGGGAGAAAGCAAGGAATCTACACTCTCCCCGAGCAAAAACTCGGTCGCGGAGTCCAAGGTCAGGCAATAAAACAATGGCTGCAAGTCCGCGACTTCACCATCCCCCTCTGGCAACCGATTCATCAACCGCTGGACGTGCACCTCCAACGCTTCAATATCACTGACTTGCTCCCTCGAAAACTGCGGCCTCAAATTCGCCCTAGAATGCTCCCATCCGGGGCCGTCGAGGGTGAATATCCCGTCTCCAAGTAGTGGGTAAAAATTAGCGTGACGTTGGGGGCCTAAGCCAAAGTCCTTGAAATTTGTCGCGAGTATGGCTTTTATATTCTCTGGCTCAACGGTGCCGATGCTCGTGCCGATTAGGATGCGGCCTTTCCATGTATTGCCGTAGGTTGGATAGCGGTCCGTGATATGCTCGAGAACGTTGCCGCGCTTGGCGGCGCGCATTAAACGTACCCAGTTTGGTAGGCCCAAGAAGGGGGAGGGGAAGCGGCGGGGTGGGAGGCAGTTATGGGATTTGGCGAATATGCGGTTTTTATGAGCCGTTAGGAGATAGGTTGCTAGTCTTAGCAGGAGGTAGAAGGCCGCAGCTAGGAGGAAGAGGGCCTTGAATGCTAGCTCCATGTTGATGATGGGGGGGAGGCGGAGCTGGTCGGGAGTCGATGGGAGCTGATGCGAAGTGAAGTGGGATGAAGTGTTGAGTTATACTTTGTTTCGCCAATGGGACAGGAAGAGGAGAGGAGACTTTATTTATGTTCACATGGAGCCTCGGTGATGTAGCCCACACCCATTCTATCATACCTGTACGAAGTGCCATCCATCCTACCATGCTAGGCGCAACAATTCTATTTCCTTAACTTGTTCCCCCCCTCCAAATTAAGCACGCCTCCCCTTTAGTATGATAGGATACTATTCCACAGTCCCGGCCCCAATCCACGATATCCATCCCTCGATTGGACAAGGATCACCAAGACATGCCGATTATCCTCCCCACCTCCCACACCCGCCTTTCTGGAATCCGTACAACTGGTACAAGGAGCAGGCATAAAAGAATCGGTACGGTGTAGGGGTAGGCGGAATCGGTTCTGGTAAAAATTCCGGTACAGCGGAATCGGACTGTCCTTTCAGGGAAAATGTGTCGAGACGGTGAAGGACCTTTTAAAACGACACTTGTCACAGTACCGTTCTCCAGCTCCAAAGGTTCGGTATTCTTGGGCGTCACCACTCCTGTGAACAAGGAAAAAAAAAATACACGACGTTATGACGGATGGGGGTAATCTCTATACTTTACTGTCAAGCATCTGCGAAGGGATATCAATTCCTTGAATAAGTGTTTAGGTTTTAAGTGCTTGTCGGTTTAGAGGTTCGGGCACCATACCCGACCAGAAACACAAAATTGCCGGAATTCGATGGTGAACTTGCCTGAGGAGAGGTCATCTACACCACTCTCTAAATATTTTTCCTTTATCGATTGCATAGTATGAGAAGAAATGCAGTATTTTTTTTAAAAAAAAAGGTCTTGCCTGTGCCAACATACCTCTGCTGAGACATTACTCTTGTGCCAGCTGCACGACTTATTCTATGCCCGTCGTCCCTTGTCCCTTGTACCAGTACTCGTAAAGTACCGACCGAGCACCCGCATCCCGCGCTAGCCCGGTCCGTCAGTCCCAACTACTAAGTCGTTACTTGTACCAGTACTCGTACAAGTATTATACTAGCACAATCCCACCAGGATCGGCAACGACGAGCCATTACCGGTAGTAATCCACCGGTTCGATCTACGAGTACGAGTACAGTAACAAGTAAAGTAATCTACCCGCCGAACATCCATCCCATCATACGGTACGTCCGCAATCACCCACCCAACCAACCCAACCCACCACCCCTACAGCAAAATAAACCACGATATAAATAAGCCAGTGTGTGGTGGGTGGGAAACGGTCAAAAAAACTCCCCCCCCCCCCAAATCGGCCAGTTATCGATACCGGGGAACCCGAGATCGGGGGCGGAGGAACTTGTTTGCGCGGTGGAATTCGGCGCCGCCGTTGGGGATGCGGGGCTGAGCATCATCTGCGAGTATTATTATTATTATCGTTATTGTTATTGTTATTATACGAAATCGGGTTGGGCATGATATATATACCTGTTGGTTGTTTTCGTATCATATTCGCGGGGGTGCCTTCTGTTATCGCTGGGCATGAGCGGTACTGTACGGTATCGTACTCGAGTACTATTGGTCCGGTGGGGGGGGGTTACTCCAATTGCTGCGGTTGTCGATAGTCTATAATAAGCTATTGGACCCGACATGGCGGTGCATGCGTGCATGCATGCATTACAGTACGAACCGTACTCGAGTACGAGTTAGGGTACTTTAACTGTATGGGCAATTATCAGCGTGGTGCACCGCACGGTATTATCCGGGTGGCTTGACTTGAATTGCCAGGCAAGTGGTCAAGAATGGTACAGTAGTCTACTGTGTTCGGTTCGAGTAGAGTACCGTAGAGTAGACCAACGCACTCCACGTGCTCACGGAAGCGTAAAAGTGCAAAACAGGAGTCCAACTACAAATACCTGTACTCGAGTACGGTAATGTAGTTATAACCATTATGAAACGGTAACACAGTACTTTACCACCCTGACAAACAAACACCCACTCGGAGTTGGCGATAATTTTTTTAAAAAGTCTCGTGGAAATATGCACTATTGTGATTGTAAGGGCTGATATCTTCGGCCTCGCCGAGCCAATTATCGAGGAGGGTAAGCGAGATTCGTGGGTTGGGTTGGGTCGGGTTGGGGGACTCGATCTCCTCTTTTTTTTTTCCTCCTACGAGTACGGTAATCGACAATGGGCTTACTCGAGTACTGTACCAGTAAAACGGAGCCTCATAAACTGTCACTCTCACTTTTGTGGGGTCAACTTTTGGAGAGCCGTTTCGGTGCGCCGGTCGTTTGCGTGATATGGATCTTGTAGAGTGGAGAATTGGTGAAACAGGCACCCCCCCCCCCCTCCCCCCGATATAGTAGCACAGTAATCTCCGTAGCGAAGAATTTCATTTTAAGGAGGGTTTTTTTGTTAGGTGGTACAGTACGGTACCCTATTTCGGGCTTCCCGTGGACATGTTTTATGAACCTTCGGATCGGTTTTCATAAGCATGTTGACGGTTCACGGCTATTCCTGTCGACGACCGCCCGGGCTCGGTTAGTGCAGAGAATTTGGGTCGGAGCTGGGTTGTGCGTCGCTGGGAGATCCTCGGATGTGTTAAGGTATCTGTCTGGCTGTCCTGGCCCTGGTGGGCTATTATAAGGAATCATTCTTTGGGTAAGTTGGTTAGGGCGCAGAAGGTGTGCTTGCATTACTATGATAGGGTATGTTGTCAGGATATAAACCATCAAACCACCTCAGCAGGGTCAGTAATAGCGATGGGATTGGTGAGAAAATACCATGGGGGTGGGGGGCAGAGGACCGGAAGGGTATAGATGGCTAAGATGGGGAAGCTATCGTACGAAAAGTGCTGGGGACAATTCAAGAATCGCACAGAGAACCCGGCTTTGTCATTGCCGAGTGCAGAGAAATGGTAACCTACCGTACCATACATCAAAGATCTCGGCACAAGATATCGTTTGCCGGTAGTAGGGAGAGCGTAACAGTAGCACAGCAGAGTACTGGTTCTGGCTCTTCCCTATAGTAGTGGATGGTACCATGTCATTCACACACCACCGGCACTAGGCAAGGGAAGGATGTACTCCATACTGTGGATCGCTGCGGGCCACATGTCAAGATCCAACACCCGTAATATGAGCCCGGATGGGGGTGAGGCGGCGGTGTCAATGCTCCCGTAACTACGCTGCTGGTAAGCTCTCTCCAGACATGGCCCAATGACCCACGATACTCAAGGGATGGGAGCTAGACATGGTGCACAGTTGATGGGTTCCAGCCGGAGGTGACGGGGATGATGAGCCCTGATTCAAGAAATGGCTGTGCCACTTGAACTCAGGGTCACACAAGATCACTCGCAGCTCGGACATATCAGTGTGGCACAAAAGGAAAAGTTTCTCCCAGGGTTTGTATACTACCTAGGATACCTATCATACCAAGGGCATTCACGGATCGACCGAATTGCTGGAGAACGAGATTTAGGGATATTCGTTATTGATGTCGCACTCAAACTTGAGGTACAGTACCATAGCCTATGTCTCAGGTGTTTGATAAGAGGTTGATCAAACTCCAATCTCCCGCACTATCATGGCACAAACTATACATATCGCATCCATTTGGCCATCCAAACAAGATACAAAACAGTAGAATGCTGACTGGTAGACCGCCGGCCCGCCCGTGTCTGCAGCACTATTGGCTCTCCCGGGTAACCAGCGCGTATTGCCTTTCCACCGTAAACCCCGCTAGCTCCTGAGGTTCCAAGCACGCAAGCGGCGTAGACATCGTATTACCGTATTGCGCTGTGCTACATTGTACTGCGCACGGGGGAGCCGAAGGTGCGGGTAGCGGGCTCGTGCGCCAACGGAAGGGTATCATACTTGACGTAAAGTATTGGGCGCGATACCGATAGCGCAGCTGCATTACCCGTTAGAATAATGGGTAGAGCTTAAGTTACAAGTATCCCAAGTATCCCAAGTATCCCAAGTATCGTACATAGCAGGAGGTATTGAGATGACCCGCCCAGCACCGGCCGGGGCTATGAATAAGTGACATTAGTGATCATCCAAACAAACAGTGAGCCTGGAATCATGACTCAGATGTCGCTCAAGTGCAGTATATGCGGTAAGCAGGCTAAATTAATTCCACAGTTTAAGCGGGATAAAGACCTTCGATATATGATACCCCCGGAACCTCCCAACAGCATCCATCCCGCTCGGGCAAGGTTTAGCAAACTCTAACCACTGTTTTGGAATAAATTCCCGACACCTCGCCCAGTAATCCGAGAGGGTGGAATTAAACTTCCTGGATAAGGCCCCTCATTGATCGGCGATTGAGGTCTCTAGCTGAAGCAGTAGTAGGTCAAGTTACTATATGTGTGTTTCGCCTATTGGGAGATGGATATTATGCACCCGTAGGTGGTAGGCCCTTCCTAGTGGCTGCATAGCCCCTCAACGACAGCCTATCTTCCACCAGTTTTGTCGCATAGATTATCACTCGTTTGGGAGGATGTGACCAA